ACATATATCTAATATATATATATATATATATATATATATATATATATATATATACACACACACACACATATTTAAATATTAGATCGTAGGGCATAGGAAGAGTGATCATGGGTAATATAGTTTTCAACCAGGAATTTCTGCGGTTAAATATGATTTAAAAATGTTTCAATAATGCAGGTTGAAGGCTTCAACAAAAGCATATAACATTCATTAACAACTTTGTAGCTCACAGTAGTTCTGTTTTTAAAGGTTTGTATGTTATCACTAAAAGTCAGTTGAACAAATGAATGAACTTTTTACTTTTGTAACTCAACTCTTGCACTCTATGACTTTCATTGTTTTAATAAAGACAGCTGAAACAGTCAAAATATCTACTTATGTGTTTCACAGAACAAAAGGTCTTACAGGTTTGGAACATTGTGAGGGTGAGTAAATAATGACAGTTTTCATTTTTGGGTGAATTATACTTTTATGTTTATTTTCATATTTCATATACTGAATATCCACGAAGACTTAAAGCTTACCAAGATTTCCTCTGCATTGCCATCGTTGACAGAAAGTCCATTGAGCTGTTGCTGAATCTGTCCGACTGAGGGGAGGTCCCTCTCTGGAATGAACCAATCCTGATCCTCCTCATCCAACATCTCTTGGAAACAGCGCTCCAAAAACTCTTGCTCAAGCAATTCCTCCTCCACCTGGGATATAAACAAACAAGGTAAAAGTTCCTGTCCAAGTTGATAAAAAAAAAAAAAAACATGTAAAACCTTAGAATTTATAATGCAGCATCTCAAGAGCCACAAAGCACAATCCAAAAATGGTCATAAAACTTACAAACTATGAACTGAACTGTGTTTGTGTTTTTATGGTGTGGGCTTGAATGGGCTGTAAGTGGTTTGGTGTGGGTACAGACCTGCTGATTGTATTCCTCCTCGTTCTCCATCCACATGTACTCTGCAAAGGGGTTTGACTCATTCTCTGCATGCCCATTGGCTACTGGGTCCTTTCCCTCACTACCTGAAACTCCATCACCCGGCATCTTTCCTATGTCAGTCCCATTCATTTCTGCTGGCTCTAAAAAAGACAGACATACATTTTAGAGATTCAATAATATCATGTCTGATTTTTATAGCAATAACAAATTATAATATATATATATATATATATA